TCTAATTAATACTTATTATTTGTTAAGATTTACATATTTCAATATTATTTTTTATTTTGATTTATAAATTTAATTATTTACTACTTTTTAATAAATTAAAATAAAATAATTATTTCTTTTAATTTTAATATCATAAATATAAATTTTATTTATTTGTAATTTAATCATATAATAATTTTTATTTGTGTGATTTAATAAAAAAAAAACCTTTATTTTAAAATAAAAATATATCTAGTTAATTTATAATATACTATTTATTATTAATTTTTAAAATAAGTAAAATAATAAAAAACAATATTAAGTTTATTTTTGATAAAAATTACATAAATTAATAAGTTAAATATTTTATTATTTTAAAATAAAATCTATAAATAAATGTATTTTGTTTATTTTCAATAAAACTAAATTTTACCTTGAAATTAACTTTTTATAATAGTATATTCTATAATAAACAATCAAAGATTAACCTAAAATATTTACAAACTAATATCATTTTATTTACAAATTAATATCATTTTAAAATAAAAAATGTTTTTTAAACTATAAATTATATTTTATAAAGTAAAAACTAAATATTCAATTTTTTAATATTATTTAAAATATAAAATTAATTAAAAAAAAATAACTTTTTTATAAATTAAAATATATTATAAAAATGGCTGAAACAGAAGAAAAACCTTTTTTATTTGTTCCATCTGATGGTTCCGAAAGAACAATTAGAAATTTCGATGGAAAAGCTAAAGCAGAATTTTCAAATGGTGATATATATGAAGGAAATTATAAAAATGGATTAAAAAATGGATATGGTGTTTATGAATATTTATCAAAAATTGAAAACGTTCCAAACGATACATATAAAGGTAATTTCGTTGGAAATTAAAAAACGGAATTGGAATAATGACTTATTAATATCCTGAAGAAAAAAAAGAAGAATATTATGGTATAAATACTATTGTAAAATTTAATTTTTTTTAAAAAAAATAGGTGAATGGAAAAATGATAAAAAACATGGAGAAGGAAGATATACTTATATAAATGGAGATGTATATAGTGGATAATGGTAAAATGGTAAAAAACATGGATAAGGAACCTATCTTTTTTGCAAAACCCAAATGAGAGTAATAATAATAAAAAATTATTGAAATAAACATATATTATTTATTTATATTTTTTTTTGTAATCTTTTTTTTTAAAAAAAAATAAAAACTCAATCAAAAAATAAAAAGACCTATACACATTTTTTTGATGATTGAGTTTTAAAAAAAAATATTACAGAATAAAAAAAAAAATAGCAATATGAAAAATTAATATACAATTATATATAGATTTAAAAAATAAGATTATAAAACTAAAATAATTAATATATTTATTTTATATTATATAAATAAAGCTTAAAGGTATTTGGCATGAAAATAAATTATAATCTGGATAATGGATATATCCAAATGGAAATTTTTACGAAGGCAAATTTGAACATAACAAGCCTTAAGGAAATGGTACATTATTTATATAAATTACTCTAAAAACATATTTTTTTAAATTTAATATAATATCTTTAATAGGAATTTGGAATCTTAATCATAAGAATTAAGTTATAGGCAAGTATATATAAACAAAAGTACCTGCTAGAGAAGATGCAGTAATAAGTTATATTTTTATTTATTTATAATATTTTTTTTAAATAGAAAAACAGAAATTAGTTAAATCTAAAACTTAAATGGGAAGAATAGAAAGAATAATTACTAATTTGAATTATTATTAAATATTATAAAGCCTAAAAAATATAAAATCAATAATAATATGAATATTTATCATTATATAAAATTGTCAATTATATTGATTTATATAAATTATAAATTTAAATATTATAACATTCTGGTTAGCATATATATTTTTTTTAAAAATATATATATATATATATATATATTTATATATATATATTTAAATATTTATCTATTATATATGTTTTAAATTTTTTTATTTGTATTACTAAAAGTGATAGTGATTCGGTTACAAGTTTTATGATTGTAATTTTTTATTAATTCATTAAAACATAATAAAATTTTAATCTATAGTGAAATAAATAAATAAAAATTAATAATTTATATTTATTATTAAGTATAATTAAATATATATAAATAATAGAATTAAATATTTATTTTTATTATTTATTAAAACATTATTTAAATAATAATTGCAATTTTAATATTATATTTATAATATAATAAAAATGAATAAACAAAGCTCTTAATAATCCTTATAATTCGAATATAATCTAATAAATGAAAATAATATTGATTAAAAAGAAACTAATATTTAGCATTCAAATAAATAAAAAGTTTCAGATTAAAATAATGTATTTTCATTTATTTATTTAAAAAAATAACAATTAAAATATTAAAATTAAAGTTAAACACATATGGTTGTAAAAAAGGAGCCTTATTATTAAAAAATAAAATAATAATTGAATGTTAATAAATTGATTAAAAAACTGGTTAATAGTAATTATAAAATTAAAAATATGAGAGAAATGTTGATTATAATTACAAGAATCATTAAATAACAGAAACTTAAAATTAAGAATAACATTAAAACACGATAAATGAAATTACTTTAAAATTAAATGAATAAAAAAAGTATTAAGTAATTTTAAATAACAATTAATAAAATAATATAGATTTAGAAAGTGAGTTCAAAAGTTAAAATCAGAAAATAATTCAAAAAAATTTAACAAATTAATTCGTTAATTTTTAATAAAATAATTTTCAAACAATTTAAACGAATTAATTTGAATAATTAAATATATATTCAAATTCTTCTTTAGCTTAATATTCTCAATGTAATATAAAAAAATAATAAACTAATAACTAAAATTCGACTAATTCTATTACTTATTAATAATCTTAATAAAACATATAAACATAATAATTAAATAATTAATTTTTAAACTAACCAAACTTATAAACATAACTAATAAATTAAATTAAATAATTTTCGCATAATACTTTATAAAATAATTAATAAAATTAAAATAATAATGAATTTAAAAATAGAGAAAATATAATTATGATTAAAAATTAATTTATTTAATAATAAGAATAAGAAAACTAATAATAAAAAGAAGAAAAAATTAAAAATTACAATTAAAAATCTGATTAATTCCTATATCTATAAAAGACAAAAATTTAAAAAAATGAATTAATAGACGAAATTTAAAATGAATATAATTTAAAAAACAAGCAGTTTGATTAAAAAAGCATAAAATAATGTTTTTCTAATAATATAGTAAAAAGTACTAAAGCAAGTATTTTAAAAAGTTAATACACATAAAAATAATTATAAGAATTAAATATGAAAGAATTTAAAAGAAAACAAAGATTTTTATAAATTTAATAAGAAATAGCTTTAAAAGAATAAATAAAACAAAAAAATCAGATTGATTAATTAAAGAAAAATACATAATAATTACAAATATAAAATAAAATACTCAAAGAATAAAATTTAATATTAAAAGATAAATATATTTAATAAATTACAAAAGAAGAATAAAAATAAGTACAATAATAAAAATAATAAATCCAAAATCCAAATAATAATAGATTTTAATAAAAATGCTTTATTGATTTAGCATTATATTTAAATAAAAGTTAAATTAAAAAAAATAATTATGTGAAATGTGAATAATATGATTTTATAAATAATTAATAAAAAAAGCCACTTATTAAATTTACGATTTAAAATAAAGAAAATGAAAATAATTAAAGATAAATATAATAAAGAGAAAAAAATTTATAAACAATAAAAAAAATTAAATAATATCAAATGAATAAATATAAAAATAAAAAATACATATATATAAAAATAAGAGTGAATTTTTCTAAAAATAAAAAAAAAATTCTATAAAAAAGTAAAAAATATAAAAAAAAAGAAAAAAAAATTATAATGAAATTATTTAATAGTTTAAAAAATATGATAAGAAGTTGCGATAATATTACTTTTTATGATAAAAATAAATAAATAAATTATCATAATGAAATTAAAAAAAGATGTAAATCTTAAGAACAAATAAATTTATTAAAAAGTAAAAATAAAATATATATATATATATAATTATATATATATAAAAACATTTTATAAATATATTTATTTATATATAAATTATAATCTAAATAATATATCTATTTTTTTTTTATTTTTTCCTTAAAGATTTTTTTTTATTAAAAAAATACTACAAAATATTAAATTATATTTTACTATATTATTAAAATAATTTTTTTTAAAATAAATATACATTTAATTTATTAGATTTATTATATTATTATTTTTATATTTATATTTTTTTAGAAGATAATATTTCTACAACTCCTAAAACTAAAGATTTTATTTATAATGCTATAAATGAAATTTTTAATAAAATTGAAAATTGCTATAATGATATTCGAGTTGATTACTTTTATAATTATAATATTAAATAAGAATAAAAATTAATTATTATATGATAATTAGGTGTTTACTTTATTTTTTAAAATATATTATAATTTTAATTTATTCTATTTATTTTTCAATAAAACTTCATTTATCCAAGAATAGTTCATTTTATTGTTTAATAATTTTGCAACTATTTTTTTTTTTATAATATATCCAATTATTATAATCAATTTAATTTATATATTTCGTATATTTTTTTTAATTTCGTAATAATAACTCTTTTGTAAACAATAGTTGTTTTTTTATTTAGATAGCACTAGTTTTTATAAAAAATCTCATTTTTTGTATTTTAATATTATTACATATAATTTTTTCTTCTGATTAGTAAAATAAATTGTATTTTTTTTTTAATCCAAAAACTATATGTGGAAATTTTCTAATTTTAAATTTCTTCAAAGAAGCTAGAACCTAAACCTAGAGTTGATTTATGAATAATGCAAATATAAAGAATATTAATAAGTATAAAATATAATAAACTGAAATAATAATATATATAAATAAATATTTAAATTTCAATGTAATAATAATATTTAAAATTTAGATATTTATAAATTTAATTTTTTTTTATTTTAAATATTGAATTAAAATAAAAAATATTATATATTAATAATATTAACATGTTAAGAATCTCTCCAATTAATACGAAGTTTTTAAAAAAATACCATCAAATATGATAATTAAAATAATATAAAATAAATTATGATTAATTAAATTTTTTATAAATATATTAAATTCATATATATATATATATAAATATAATTTATTTAAATTATATTTAAATCAATTATTTCTTTCTTATTAAAAGTTAGCCTATAAAACTTATCCATCTTCTTAAATTAATTAGAATTATCCTAAAATTTAGTCTTCTTTCCATTCGCCTTAAACCTGATTATTAAAAAACATATATTTAAAAAAAAAAAAAATTACTTTGGCATTATTTTTCCATCTATAACTTCCTTTTCCTTTTTTTTTATTATTTTCAATAAATCCTTCAAATTAATCTCCATTTGAAAATTTATAAATTCCTTTGGTATTTCTTAATCCATTTTTCCATTCTCCTTCATATAAATCTCCATGTGCCATTCTAAATTTTCCATATCCATTCTTATGGTCATCTTTCCATTCGCCATCATACCTATTTTTTCACAAATTTCTAAACTATCTTTTTTTATTTAAAATATACATATCTCCATTGCAATAAAAATATAATCCTCTACCTTATTTTTTACCATTTTCAAAATTTCCTTCATACCTATCACCATTAGCATAAAAATGAATTCCTTTTCCATTTATTTAATCATTTAGCCATAAACCTAAGCAATAAAAAAAATATAAAAAATAAAATAAAATATAGTTATTTATTATGCCTTAATAAGAAGAATTATCAGTAAAAAAAATTTTACCATAACCATTTTTTTAACCATGTTAAAATTCACCTTCATATTTATCACCATTTTCAAAAATAAAAGTCTATTAAAAAATTAAAAATCATATTTATATTTATATTTATATTTATATTTATATTTATATTTATTTATATTTTTATATTTATATTTATATTTATATTTTTATATTTATATATATTTGTTTTTAATGTTTACTCCTTATCCATGTGCTTTGTCTTCAATCCATTAACCTTAATGTATAGCTCCTGAAGAATATTATAGTATACCGTTTCCATATTTATGTCCTAATTTCCATTATCCTTAATATTTATCCCCATAAGCAAAATTGAATATTCCATTACCATGTTTTTCTCCGTTTAACTAATATTTTGTTATTTCTTTATTATTTTTATTTTTATTTACCCATTATCCATCGTATTTTTCTTGAGTACTGTAATATTCATACACTCCATATCCATTTTTTTTATCATTTTTCCATTCTCCTGTATAGCAATTTCCATTAATATATTTATAGGTTCCTTTTCCGTTTTTTATTCCCTCTTTTTTTTATTTTATATAAATTTAAAAACAATAATAATTAAAATTATTTTAAAAATTAAAAACCTTAAAGTTCACCTTCAAACTTTTCTCCGTTTTAAAATATATAAATGCCAAATCCATGAAATCTTTATTTTTATTGCAATTTATTTTTATTTTTTAATTACTTATCATCCTTCCAATCTCCTATATACTTATCTTAATTTTTACTTTTTAAAAAAATTATTAAAAATATTTTATTGTATTATTTTGTTTAAAAAAATACTAATGATAAATGCCTTTTCCATTTCTTTTATCATCAAAAACTTTTTTATATATATAAATATTTTAAAATGTCATATTTTATATAATGTTGATTTTACTTTCACCTTCATACTTTGAACCGTCAATATAATTTTTTATCTTTATATTTGGCTTATAATTTCCACAGCAATCAAAAATATAAGTTTGTTAAAAATCTTTAATTAATAATTCTCTTTCTTAAAGAGCTTTTTATTTTTCAATATCTAAATTAACAGGCTTATTATCTAAAATAGTAATCATAAAATAAAATAATTATATATATTTAAAAAATTAAAATTTGTATTTAAATTTTATTAAAAAAATAAGTAATTTCTATAAATAAAAATATTTTATTTAAATAAATATTTCAATATTTATAATATTAAAAACTACATTTACATATACAATCTAAAAACATTTTATTTAAATATTAAATAATATAACTAAAAAAATTAAAATTAATTATTAAAATGACAAAATGATTTAATTAAAAAAATAAACAACTGTTATATAATAATAGAATTTTAGATCAGATATTAAATATATTATCTTAAAATGTATGTAAAATTAAACTAAGGAAAAAAATTAATTTAAAATTTAGTCATTAAAAAAATAAATTACATAAAAATAAAATTAAAATATGATATAAATATATATAAATATAAATTTAAATATATATATAAATTTAAATATAATTACAAATAATATTTTTTTTATAATTATTTTTTTTTTTTATATATTTTTCATTTTTATCTTTATTTATTTTAAATTTTATAATTTTTTGAAAATATTATCAAATATAATTACTTATTGTCTTCTGCTTTTTTTTTAAATATAATCAAATATATATTTTTTGATTAATTTTCTATTATTTTTTATCTTTAAAAGTAATTGTTATCAATAAATTTTAATTTTTTTTTTTTTTTTTTATTTTATATTTTAATTAATTATTAATTTAAAATAGTTTTAATTATTTCATTTTATATTCTTATATTAATAAATATAATATTTTACAATTTAATATCGAAAAAACAAATTTTTTAGGAATATATTATTATAATTTAATATTTAATTCTTTTTTAATAAATATTTTTATATTACTAATAATGTTTCAAAGTTACTAAAAAAAAAAATTGTACTAAATAAATTAAAAAATGTTTTTATTTAAAAAAATTAAATTGTTTATTTTTTTTATTAATAGCTTAAGATTATAATTTGTTTTTATATTTTTGCTTTTTAAATAAATGAAGCTGATTTCTAAATATGTTCAACTTTTTTATTATGCTGCATTTTAGGTTGCTTTTAAATTAACTAATATATATTAAAATATTTTATTTTCTTAATATTCTCTTTATCATATTTTATATATTTATTTAAAATTATAGAATCATTATTTTATATATAAATTTAATTTTTCTATAATTAAACTTATAATTTATTATCTATATTATTATATTGATTAAAATAATTAATATTATTATAAATAAAAACAATAAATTATAAGTTAAACATCAAATATTACAAAGCAATAAAGCAATGAAAACTGAGTTTTAGTATATTAAAATTAAAATATAAAATATAATATATTTTAGAGAAACATTAATTGCAAATATAAAATATAAAAATAAAAAAAATTTAGACATTTTAAATTTAATATATTTAATAGTATAACGAAATATATCAAAATACTATTTAAAGATTATATAAAAATAAATTATTATAATGAGGTCCCAAAATAATTTTTTTTAAGTTTGTGAATAATTTAACTATTGGCAAAAGATATTTCAAATACTTGAAATGACTTTTAATTTACTGGAAGTTACTTTTATAATTAATTTTGATTTGTACTAATCTCATAAATAATTTTAGTTAATTTCATAATTAAGTTTAGCTAATTGTATCAATTTTAATTATATATTAACTTATTAATTTTCAAATTAAAAACTATTAAGTTTAATTTTTTATTAAAAATTATTAAAAATAATAGAAAAATATTAAAAAGTTATATTCAAATTAACCAAAATATTTTTTAAATTTTTATTATATTATATTTTTTTACTAATTTTAATTTGTTCTTTTTTTTCATAAAATAAAATTAATTTATATCGTATTTAAAATTTTTTATGTTATTAAAAAATATATAATGTTTTTATCATTTTCAAAAATAATTTTATACAACATTTATTTAATTATTTTCATTTTATGAAATACTTTTAAAATTATTTTTAATACAAAAAAATTATAATTATTGTTTTTTACTATAAAAATTAAAAAACTGAAAATACATTAATATATAATAAAATAATTATTAATTATCCGTAAAAATAGCTATATTGGTAAATAAAATATATCATATATTTTAAATTTAAAAATATTTTTAGGTTAAATGACTGATATTTTTTTTTAAATAAAGAAAATAAAAATGTAAAGTTATTTCAGTGAAATTCATTGTACATAAAGATAAAATATTGAATTCTTAGTTTAATATTATATAAATATAATTTTTAAAAAATATATTTTTTAAATAATTAAAAAATTTAATTAGCATTTTTTAATATCAATTTTATTTTTCAAAAAAATTATAATTGAATTTTAATGATAAAAAATATAAAAAAAAATCTTTTTAAAATTTGTCTGACTAAATGATTGAAGAAAATACAATTCATTAATATTAATCATATTTAATAAATAAAGTTTAAAAAATCTAAAAATATGAGCATAACCTATTTTCTTTTTTGAGATTTTAAAAGGATTATTAAGAACTATAAATAAAAATTTGAATGATGAAAAGTGCCTCGTAAATATATTAGATCATAAATATATGACTAATTATATAAGATTTCCTCTATAGTTATAACCGTAAACAGGAGTATATAAAGGACAAATTATTAATATATATTTGATTATTTCTAGAGAATATCCATATAAACCTATTTTAGCATTTGCAGAAGAATTTATATATCATCCGAATATAGAATTTAATACTAAGTAAATTTATTGTAAAATGTTTAAATATGAAGAGTGGAAACCTACATTAACGTATAATAAATATATTAATGTATAAAAAATTTTATTATAAAACCTAAATATTTTATATAAATAAAATTTATTTAAAATATTTTTTATATTTGTTTTTAAAGTTTATATTTCATAATACTTTAAATGAAACTTCTAATAGTTGATCCAGATTTAAGCTTTGTTCCTGCAAATTAAAAAAATTATGAATGCGCATAGCTTTATTAATTTAGCCTATAATAATTTTTAAAAAAATTAGAAATATAATAATAATAGTAATTCTTCAATATTAATTAATTAAATGATTTTAAATATATCCCTAAAGATAAAATCAATGATCATCTAGAATAAATAAGTGATTAGTTTTTAAATTATTAATTTATTAATTATTAATTTTAATAACAAAATTGTTTTTAAAAAAAAATATTTTTGAAGAACAAGGAGAAATAGATGAATATACTCCGGAACTAAAAAATAAATTAGAAAAATAAACTTAAATATTTATTAATATTTTGATATTAATCCTTCTTGTATCTAAGAATAATAAAATACATTATAATATAATTTCGAATTGGAAAAAGAACATAAACTGAATTATATTGATTGTTCTATTTCAAAAAATAAAAGAAAATTTTACTAAAATTAAGATAGTTAAAATATAGAGTTAAATAATAGAAAAGTTTTAAAATTAATTTGAAATTAAAACTAAAATTAATTAATATATAAATGAATATATGTTATTTCATAAGAATATATTTTAATGTATAGCTTAATTAATTATTCGAAATATTTTTAAAATATTATTTAATATATTTTTATATTATTTAATATATAAATAAAAATTACATTTTTTTTAATTTTTACATAATTACTATTGAATATTTATTAATTTATTTTTAAATAAAACATTCTAAAAATATATGAAAAATAGAAAAATTAAAAATAGTAAATTAACATTAAAAAATTTATAATAATATTATTAATAAAAAATAAAAAATAATAATAATAATTTAAAATAAATAAATAAAATAAATATATTATTTAATAAAAAATTGAAATTTAAAAAAAAATATTTAAGTTTATAAATTAAAACAAAAATAACTTATATTTTATATATTAATAAATATATATATATATATATGGTTAAATTAAATGTAATAATAAAAATTAATGAAATAATAACAAAAAATATAATAAAACTTTATAAATAAATAAAAAAAAAGATAAAAATTACATAATAAAAAAAAATATAATAAATAAGTTTAATAAAATAAAAAAAGTAAAAAAAAGAAAAATAATGATAATTTATTAAAAAATATTTATTAAATATATATAAATAATAAATATATATATATAGATATATATATATATATAAATATTAAATTACTATACATAAATTTGAGATACTATGATAAAGGATAATTAATTTTTAAAGTCAATCAATATTTAAAAACTATTTAAAAAAATAATTTTTGTATGACATGATTTAATTTGTATAATTCCTTTAATTTTAATTTCTTTAAATTATTATGAGACAAGAACTATTAACTTTTTAATAATATTAATAGCTTTTTGGTATACAAATTTTTAGAAACATGATGATATTTTTATGCTCAAATCAGATAATTTCTGCTTTTATCTAAGATTTTTGTAAATAATCTGTAGTATACATTTAGGAGCTCACATAATTGTCTATTCTTTCTTTTTTTCGCTACTAATTTTCAAAGTAATACTAATTGGCTATAAAAATATGATTTATATATTGTAAGTAAAGGCTGGTTTACAAAATATTTATATATGCATTTATTAAAATGTTACTATTATGAAAACTGTTAGTTTTGATATTTTTCCTTAAATATTTATGAAACAGGTCTATATTATATATTATCTTTATTTCAGTTTCTTAAGAAACTTTCTCTTACTGCAGTTGCTATTATTTACTAAGATTTAAATAAGAAAAAAAATAGTATTTTCTGAATAAATGAGACTCTTAAGTAGGTATTGACTTTTTTTAATTTATAATATTTTTTTAATTATGGATTTATTCTTGAACAAAGCATGTAAGTATTTTAAAATTATTCTTAAAATCAATATTTGGAATTAAAAACTTTATTTTCTCGAAAAAATTTATGTTTAATTTCTTTTTATAAATTATAATTTAAATATTAAGTGTTGAATTATTTTAGGATTATTTTAATTTTTAAATCAAAAACTTTTTTTATATACAGTAAAATCTTAAGGTCTTCTTCAAATACTTTGAATTTGCAAAAATATGGAAAATAATAATTCATAAATTTAATAAAACAATTCTAAAAAGATGTCGAAATGAAAGACTTAATAGATTTAATAAAAATTAATAATTTTTTATTTGATTAACAAACAAACAAATAAAAAGGTAATTTTTATTTGATTAACAAACAAACAAATAAAAAGGTAATTTAGTTAAATAAAGAAAAAATAGTTTATTTAAGAGAAGATAAAAAATTAGAATTAAAATTATACTATAAAAAAAGAAAATTGAAAACACTTGGCAAATGCATATTAATAATATTTCTAATCCCATAATTAATAATTAAGTATAAAAAAAATACCAATTAAAATGAATTTAATTAGTTTTTTTACAGCATTTGTGTTATTCAATAAGTAAGCCAAAACAAAACTTTTTTAAAATAAACAAGATAGAATACATATAATATTTTTTATTTTTAAAAAATAAAAGTACAATTCATAAAACTTAAAAATTTTTTTCGGTTAGTACATAATCAATATTTATATAAAAAAATAAAAAGAAAATATAAAAATAAATTTACAAATATCTAATAATTAATATGAAATTAAAATTTCATTTAAAACACATTTTCTATTTTTTAATGCGATTATATCAATGTTAATTAATTTCATTTCACTATTTCTAATTATTATGATGTTAGAAATTATTTATAATATTTTGTTATGATAATAAAAGAAATTTCTATAATGCTTTTTATTTAATAATGGTTTTTAAAATTGTCTTTAGCATGTTAAAAAAAATACAGATAATAATTTTAAAAGTTAAATTATATTAAATTTATTAATTAAAATAATGATTGTTTTTAAAAATAATAATATTATAATGAAATTTAATTATGAAGTTTATTGAATTTAGAGATTACCTAAAACTTTATTTTTGTCTTATATATTTATGAAAAAATTATTATTTTTTGATAATAATAATAAAAAAATAAAAAGCACTAAATAAAGATAACAAAAAATATTTAATTTATTTAAAAGTATTTTAATACTGTTTAAATTACTTCAATTTTTTCATTATTTCATTATTTCATTTTATTGAAATCACCTTTAACTACTTCAGGGATTTCAAGTTTTACATTAATAATTCTTTCAATAAGCATATCAATAACTTTTCCTTTGTTCTATTCATAATCTTAGTTTATTTTTTTAATATCATTTTCAGTTTATATTAATAAATTATCATGGTCACTTGTATTACCGAATTTCTTTTTTAATTATAATAAAAAATAAAATCAAAAATTTTTTTTTACAGTTTTGACATCTTCATTAAATTTCTATTCCATTTCTTATCTAAATTTATTTATCTCTTAATCTGCCGCAGAACGAGCTTATTTCAATTTTTTTTCTCTTTTTTTATATTTAAGTATAAATAAATTATTTATATATTTTAATATTAAAAAACCTTTCTTTTTAAGCATTTTAAATTATGGTGTTTGCTTTTTCTTCTGCCCTGAGAAGAGCTTCAACTGCCCAATTGTTTCCTCCTATTTCAGCCATATTTTTTTTTATTTTTTTGTTTTTTTTAAAGGAATTAATTTTTATTTTATTTAGAAATAAAAACTAAAATGTAAAATTAATATTATTTATTTATAAATAAAATAAGTATATAAAAAAATGAAAAGGCTTTCGTTTTAAAATGTTTTTTTAATTAATATTTTTTTAATTAAAAGATTTAATAACTACCTTAAATATTTAGTATTTTCTTATTCATTTTTTTATAAATATATTATTTATAAATCCTTTATATTTAATAAATTAAAAAAAATCAATTATTTGAATTAATATTAGAAATATTATTTATTTCATCTCCTTAAATTTCGATATTAAAAATTCCACTGTGTTTGATAATAATTTAGTTATTTGGGTTTTATTTAACTCTTTTTATATAATTATTTAAAGGTTAATTATATTTTTATTAAGAAATTAATGTTTCCTAATAATTATTTTAAGCTTAATCTTAGAATTTTAAATTTTGCCTTAATAAATTTCTTAGTTTTGCATTTTTAAGCTCTAGTCCTTCATTGTCTTTTTCAATTTATCCTATGTAATTTTATAATTTATAAATAATATCTATATATAATTTTGATATTAATAAAGAAGATTTATATGTTGTATTTTTTTGCTTTTCTATTAATAAAAGTTAATCTATTAAATATTTTTGTTCTTTAACTTGTTTGTCCTTAAAACTTATTTCGTTTTTTAAAGCTATTATTTCGATGTTATTAGAATTTTATATATCTTAGTTTTCATTTATATAATTTATTGGTTTCTTCATAGTTTTTACATTTGAACTTTTTAAACCTCTTGATGTTTAAGGCGAACAATATATTTGGGAAGTTTTAAGCTAGCTTTTTTATGGAGAACTATTAACCGATTTTATTAATTTACTTGAGAAATTTATATTGTTTATATACATATTTCTTATTTTTTTACCTTTAAATTTATGATTTTTTTTTTTAATATTTTATATTAAAAAAATTTACCATAAATAAAAATTACCATACCATAAATATTTAATTTAATAATATATGATATATTAGTATTTTTAATATGTATTATTTAATTTTAATTTTTTAAATATTTTTATATTTCTTTTTATTTTTATGATATAATCAATTTTTTTGAATAATATTTTAGTTAATTTTATATATTTATATTATCTTCACTTAAACAATTATATATTAATTTTAATTATAAATATTTATTGGAAGAAGGCTTTTAAAAAAAAAAATCATATTTAGGTTTAAAATTATAATAAATATAGAAAACATATAAAAAGCAAAGCAAAATAATAAAATTAATTAATATATCTATTTATATAATTTTAAATATTTTACATAAATAATTTTATTTATAATAAATATTTTTTAAAATTGATGCACAGTAAATAATACAATTCATTAATCTCATTTACTACTTGAAAATCATATAATTTCACACTTCAAACTTATTATTTATTATTTAGAAAAACATTTTTTTTTTTATCTTAACTTATATGTTTTTTATTTTAATTTAAATAATTTTATTTTTAATTTAGATATTCAATATATTGAATATTGTTTTTTAAATAGACATTGTGTTTTTCCTTCTATTATTATTTTTTAAAATTTATTCTATAACAATATTTTTTTTTAATTATAATAAATATCAGAAAAATTTTATACGAAAAAAATAAAAATATGTTAATTATAAATAAAATTACTATTTCTTCCTCTTCAAAATTTTAAAACAATAAAAAAAAATTTGAACAATTATAAAATTTTTGATTTTTCAACTTTTTTGGGAGTTCTAATTTTTAACAAACATCATATGATATTTTAAAAAAAATAAAATAAAAAGCTATTTAATATAATTTTAAAAAAAATTAAAAATTATTTAAAAATAAATGAATTAAATTTAAATAAATAATAATGAATTATTGAAAAAAAAATATTCAAAACAAGGTTCTATTTCAACTGAACTAGATTCCAGTACTTAAGCAAATAAAACAAATAATGATAATATTTTAAATAAGTAATTAAAGTTTTATAAAAACATTTAAATAAAAAAAGTAATAAAGAAAACGATAATATCCAATATTAGAAATAATATGATCAAAAAACTATATGTATTAATGAAAATTAAACAATATAAATTGGTTCAGAAAATGATAAAATTCTTAGTTTAAGGTATGATCCAACAGATTAATATATAGCAGTAGCTTCTGAGGATGGTTCATCGAGAATAATTTATAAACCAAAATGTACAATAATAAATATGTTTTAATAAATCTTTAAAATAAAAAAATAAATTAGTTTAAACTATGTATACATTAAATGATACTTTAGGTAATAAATCTAACCCTGCTACATGTATTAGATGGAATACATCAAAAAAAAGTCAAATATAGAATGCATTTTTAACTACATATGCTGGAGGAAAATGTATATATTGGCATGCTACTTCTTAATAAATTCTTGCTAAATATTAGGAAGAAGAATCTATAGATTTATATACTTGCGATTTTAGTTAAGACGGAAAAAAATTTATAACTGCAGGATCTGATGCAAAAGTAAGGCTTTACGATATTGGAAAAAAAAAGCTACAATTTTGTAAAAAGGAATTTGTTCAGAACATAAAAATAGAATATATGCATCAAAATTTATAGATGAAAATACGCTAATAACAGTAAATATATATTTTATATTAAGATATATATAATTAATTTTAAAAATTTATTTTATATAAATTAAAAATTAAAAATATAAAAAATTATTTAAATAAAAAATTTATATAAAAAAAATAAAAATATTAAAAAAATAAAAAAAATATATAATTAAATATAAATATATATATATATATGATATATTTATATATATATACATATATTTTTATAGGCAGGATGGGATATTAATGTTTTAATTTGGGATTTAAGAACTAATTCAACTCAAGGATATATTTATGGTCCATAGGTATATGGAGACGCTTTAGATTATAAAGAAAATTAAATTTTGACTGGATCTTTTAGGGGTGATAAATAACTTTAAATTTGGGATTTAAGAAATAGAAATAAAATTTAAGATATATTATGGAATAATTCAGAAAATTAAAAAAGTTTTGTATATACCTGTTAGTTTTCTAAATTTTCTAATTAATATATTGCTGCTGGTTCAACAAATACAAATGAAATAAGATTATTTGAATATTAAAATGGATATTACCAGTTTATTTAATCATTTTAGAAAAAAAATAGTTCTGGTATTTTTACTCTTGATTGGACATTTGGGAATAACTAATTTACATTTGGTACTTCTGAAGGTAAATGCACAAATGCTACAGTAGAATGATTTTTTTTTATATTATACTTATATTTAATATTATATATGTCGTATTTTTTTTTTTTAATTTATATATACGATAATTTTTTTGTTATCTTAAATAATATATTTTTTCAATAAATCTTATTTTTTTTTTAAATTATATATATAAAAGTTAAGGATAAATAATCTATTTAATCATGTCTATTTAATTTACATAGTAAAATTTTAATAAAAAATTATTTAATTTAAATTTTCTAAATTAAATCAATCTTTGTAATAATAGATACTAATTCGATAAATTTTGATGAATAAATATACTTAAATTTTATTTTTTATGGAAGCCGAATTTTAAGCCAATTTTTGAATTAAAATTTAATTTTTTACAAAAATTCGAATTTAAATAAATAACATTAACAGTTTTAAAACGTATAATAAGTGTATTTACACATCTGTTATCAATATATAATTTTTAAAATGTTTAATTTTTTTTATTTTAAATTTATAAAAATATATATTTTAATAAGTATAGATATTTAATTAATAAAGAAATATGCATTATTATATATTTATTTATTAAAAGAAATATCTATATAACTTAATAAAAATATCTTTATTTATTAATTTATTTATTTAATATATTGAGATTTTTCTCTTGATATTAAAATATATAAAGTGAGAAAAATTTTATAGAATTTATTTTTAAAAATAAATAAACTAAGTTAACAAATATTTAAAATATATAATTTATTAAAAATATTATATATATTAATTTTCAAATAAATAAAAATTATAATTTTTTTCCCTCTACTTTTAGATAATTTTAAAAAAATAGTAACAAGCAAAGTGAAAAAAAAATATACATATATAATTATATTATTTATTTATCACTTTTTTACTTTTAATAATTTTTTTAAAAAGTATCATTATATAAAATTTCAATAAGGATTCATACAATTTAAAGTTTAAAAAGCATTACTCATTGGAATATTTAATCCTTCGGCAAACATATAATTATTATTAGTAGAGTTATTATTATCTATAGTCTCATATTTTTAAAAAGGGTTTGGTAACATATTTTGCATATGATTATTTAATTATTACATATCTTACATTACATTGTTAAAATTATTATTATTTTAATCTGGAATTTTCTCTTCTTCATTACCCCATTTTATATTAAAATGTGTTATTCTTGGTTAATTAGCTAAAATATTTCTCTCTACTTTATCTATAAGAACTTCTGTAGGATCATTTTCTATTAACTCTGGATCTGTATATTGATTATATACATAATATCCTACTCTGAAAAATTCCTAGTTTCTGTAAGATACTGTAAGTATTATTGCTGTTACTCCTAGTAAATCTTCTTTCGAAGGTATTTTAGTATGATCTGGAGGATTACTTTCTATTGTAAATTACATTACTCCTTGGTCTAAATCACCCATTGAAAATTTATCAAGAACTTAGTCGTATAATTCATCTTTTGCTGATCCAATATATATTAGCTACCATTCGATTTCTTCAGGTATCTATTTCAGACATTCGAATGTTATATCTAATCTTAAAGGACTTTAAAACGGACTAGGATTGTTTTAGAATTAAATATTTTGGATGTTTACAAGTGCCATTTTTTTTTTTTAATAAAAATACTGCTTTTTTTTTTGCTTTTTTTAATAATTTTAAATATTATAATTATTTATATATGTATATATATTTTATTTTTTTCTTTCTCTTAAATATTACTTTGACTTTGTTTTTTATTTTTTATTAAAGAATAATTATTTAGTTTTTTGAGCGGGTTTTAAAATAGAATTTTGATAATATATAATTATATTTTTATGTTAACCTATTGTAAAAAAAAAAAAAAAAAAAAATTAAATTTAAATTTTTACGTGGATTATTTGTTTTATAATATAATAATATTTATATAAAAATAATTTTAGAAATATTAAAATTATAAATTTAAAAACATAAATATAAAATATTTAATTATGTATTTTACAATTTATAAGATTATGTATTTTTCTTAAAGCTAAAATTACATTTATTTACTTTTATAAAAATTTAATCATTATTCTTCTAACATATCTTCTATTTGCTTTCTCCAATTTAAATGTCTTTCGCTTGGAATAATAGTACCTCTATGTAACTTTACTTATGATTATTTGCTTTATTTCAATTTTTCTTCTTGCCCTTAAAGCCTTTGATTATGACTTATAGAACTTTAAATAGTTCTTTTTAGTTCTTCTTAATTTATTTATATATTATTTTTATTTTCAGTTTCATTAATTTATTAATTATCTACTGCTGATTTTAATTTTTACATATAATTTTTTACTTTTGTCTTTTTTTTTAAAAAAAAATAAATTATTAATTTAATTAAAATAGCATTTTATTTACTAACTAAGTGTTTATTTTATGATCTTTGATTTGAAATCCGTTTGATTTTAAGAAAACTTTTATAAGGTTATAATAAAAGTATAAAAAAAATTATATTTTTCCTTAATATTTTATTAATTACCATAATATAAAGAGTTTAAATGATATGCTAAAGTATTATTTAATTAAGCATAATCTGATAATGATATATTTTCCCCTAATTTATCTATATTTTATTCTTCATAAAGCTTTTGTAATAGTTAATCACTTGAATTCAAATTTGATATTATTTAATCTAAATTTTCATTTACTTTTTCGATATCTTAATCCATTTTTTCTTTTTATTATAATAATTGTATTTTTTTAATAATAACTTATTTAATTATATATATTTATCCTATAAAATTAACAATAAAAAAAATAAATTATTAAATTTAGACTAAATAAAAAAATCATTTAATTAAATATACCTATAGTTACCTAATTTTAATTATTTGCTTCTTTTAAATAAAATTCCAACTTTTAACATTAAATAAAATAAATTAATTCTAATCAATTAAAATTTAAAAAAATATTAAAAATGCTTTAACAAAATTTAGTTACTAATAACGATTATTCTCCATAATTAAATTCCAAAGCTAAAAAATTGAGTACTTAATATTAAAAAAAAATGAAAAAAATACGTGTAATAAAGCTTTCCTTATCTTTCTTTTTACTTTATATGGCACATGATTCTATTGAAGGACTAATTATATCATTATTTTCTTATTATGGTAAGAATAATTTAGGATAAATATGTTTAATAAGTAAATATTTTATGTTTGTAATATTTTAATTCTTTATTACTCCTAGAATATATTTTTTAACACCTAAAAAATACTTAAATTTTCTTTTTTCGGGTAGTGCTTTTTTGCTTTCTTTCTTATCAATTGTAGCTTTTGTCTTTGGACATTGTTTAAAAAATAAATTTGATGTAAATCAAAAGGATTTAGAGTGTTCTGATATTTTTATTTACTTATTTTCTATTATCATGAGTTCTATATCTGGAATAGGGTGTAGTTTTTTATGGTTTATGAAAGATATTTATTAAGGTATTTTTTTTAAAAAAAACTGCATTTTATCATAAAAAAAGGAACATAAGTAAGAACAGACTAAAGGGGAAAATATAGTAGTTTGTTTTGGTCTATTAATGCTTTTTCAGGATTGCTTGGTTATATTTTTAGTTTTATATTAATTAGAGAATAAAATTTGTAAGTTTTTTTAATTTATAATTGCGCACTTTCGTTTCTGTCTAGCATTTCTTTCCTTTTTTGTACTTTTAAAAATAAGAAGTATATTAATAAAGCAATTTAACCTTTCGAAAAAGAAGATCTAAAAAAAGAAGATATATTGCCTAATCAAAGAACAAAAAGTAAAAAAGACATTGAAAATAATAATGATGCTTAAATTATTTAGGAAACGCGTTCAGCTTCTGAATTTGAATAAAAAAACGATGAATATAATTAATAAGATATATAAGTTTACAGAGAATCTTTATATTAAATGAGATTAGAAAGTTAGCAAGGAATTTCATTTTTAAAAAGAGATTCCTTTAGTAGTAGTAATTCATTTTCTAATACGTTTAAATCATAATTAAAATAATAAGAAGAATAAGAGCAGTAAGATGACAAATAATAGCCATAAAATAAATAAATAATAATAAAATGGAAACACATAATTTAATATATTAATAAAAAACCTATAGGGAGGCAATTAATTCCTATATACATATTATTTGGTTTTTTGTTTTCTTTTTGGTAATATTAAGGAATACTTATTTCTCAATATATCCAGCATAATTCGAAATTCGGTAACATGATATCTCCTAATGGTTAATTTTTTGGACTTTTTTTAATTTTGTAAATAATAGCTACATTAACAAAATTTTTAATAAGCATAATTACTGGATTTCTATATGATAGATATAGAAATTAACCCTTTAAAAAAAACTTATTATAACAACATCATTGTATTTTGCTTTATTGTTTATAATTTTTTCAATATTAGCTGTCAATATTGAATACTATATTTACCTTATTTTCTCAAGTATTAGCTTTGGTGTTTCATATTCTACTCTTTAGACTCTTAGAGGACCAATTAGGACTCATTCTTTCAATGGTTAAAAAGAGATAGTTTAGTTAGCTGGGTATAGTGTTGATTAGATGTTTGTTTTTATATCTAGGACTATTATGCTTGTATTATGTTTAATTTTTTTAATTAACATATTTATGTTTTGTATTCTCTAATTGCTTTTACGGCTCTTATTTCTCTGATATTCATGTATAAATATAGGTATGAGTCTGGACACAAGTTAATAGAAGAAAAAAATAGATTAAAAAAAAAGTCAATAAAATTAAATTTAATAATAAAAGAAAGATGAGAATTAAAATTAATAATAATAATAAAAATATGAGAATTAAAATTAATAATAATAGAAAGAATAGAATTAAAATTAAAATTTCTATATGATTAATTGATAAAAAAAATATAAATATTATATATAACTTGTTCTGATTAGTTTTTTATTTTTTCTGCTTATTTGCCATTTTTTTTTAAAAAAAAAATACAGCGAAAATAAAAAATAATATCAGAACAAGTGGTATATTCATACATTATTTTTATTTTTATTTTATTTTTTTTCAATTATAATGTCTATTAAATTGACATAATTTAATTTCTCCATTAACAGTACTCAAAGCAAAATTTTGTCCATCATTCATAAATTAAATATTTCTAATTCCTGATTTTCCTCCCAATTTATTTTAACTTTAAACCTTAAAATTAATAAAATCAAATATTATAACTTCATTTTTATTAGTAATAATAGCAACGTGGGAATTATCATTCAAATCACTTACAGAACAAATACTTGAATTAATATTTAAATTTTAGTTTTTTTCAAAATTACCATTTAAGAAATTAAATAAAACAATACAATTTAAGTTTATTAAAATGGCTTTATTTTAGCCGATTGTTTTTATGAATAAACATTAAACAAAATTGCATTAATATTATTTAATTATTTTCATGTTTCGAATATTAATAAGACTTATAGAACCTGATTTTGTTTTTGAATGTATTAATAAAATTCTAGACTTTTTACAAAATGTGAATTTCCCAACTAAGTTTTGGTTTCGGAATTCTCCAACCTTTTTCTACATGCTTTTATAAATAGAAATAGCTTCATTTTATTGTATTGCAAGAATATTTTTATCTATTTAAGTACTATAAATGCATTAACGTTTTAAGTTTAAGGTTTTGAATAATTTATAATCTGAACTATTTATTATTTAACATCTTTTATCTAAAGATGTACTTATTAAATATTTTTAAGAATTCTAAACGTAATTATTAAGACTTGTTATTTTATCTGTATGTGCTAATATTGAAACTAATATTTTTTCCTTTTCAACATCTATTATTTTTATTAAGTTACCTATTCCTGCAGCAAGCTTATTTACAGATACGTTTTGTATACAAGATATTTATTCAACAGTGTTACAAGCTTAAACTTTGAAAAGCGATTTTCTATGTTTCAAATCAAAGCTTAAAGGTATTTAATTAATTGAAGGAAAATCAAATTATAATTAAAAAAGAGAATTCTTTAATGGAATTCTTATTTGTTATTTTATTATTAAGGAAAAATCAGGGATTTTCATATTTTCGACGTTTTGAATCATATGAGGAGTTAAATTATGGTCATAATCCAGTTTCTTTAAATGTTAAAATATTGTCATTAAATTGTTATTCAAATTTTCAATCTGCTTTTTTTAAAACCTTTAGAAATATTTAATTATATGAGACTCTTGTTTTTATATTGATTTTACTAAAATTTCTTAACAATTTTTCAAATGTTGTTCTAAATTAGTCTTTAACTTTTTTAAATCCATTTTTTTTGATTATTTTTTTGAAAAAAACTTAAAATTATAAAATCTTATAGAATTCTTTATTAAAATATTTTTAATTGTAAAGTTTTATGTGTAATGTTTATAATTAAATAATATAGAAATTAAGCATTAATATGTAGATGAAAGGAAATTTAAATAAAAAAAGAAGGGGTAAAAATGGGATAATATAATATAATAATAATAATATATATTTATAAAAATAAAAACTTTATTATTAAAATTATGAATTAAAAAATAAAAAAATATAAAGAAAAATATAAAAAGAGTAAAAAAAAATTATTATAATTAAAAAAATTATTAAAAAATTAAGCTTAATAAAAAATATAAAATTATATATATATATTATATATATATATATTTTATTAAAAAAATATTTTAATTTGTTTTTATTTCTTGTATTAGTTTTTTTACAATATATATATATTTTATTTATTAAAAAAATTGTTTTTCTTATATACAATATCAAATAATATTTATATATATTTTTATATTAGAAAATTATATATAAATATTAATTTTAAATAAAATATATTTTAGATAAAATTATTTTATATATTTTATTATTAATAATATATATATATAATTTTTTTAAAATTTATAATACATAATATTTATTTTTTATAATATAATCTAAATTTAATAAATTTTTTTTATATTTATTTTATTTTTATATAATATTTTTCAATATTTTTTATTTTTTAATATAATATAATATAAACAAATATAATATTTTTGTTTTTTTTTTCCTTTTTTGTTCATTTTTTTGTCTTTTTTCCTTTTTTACTTCTTTTTTTTTTGTACATAATACTACAGAAAGCTTCATATTTTCTACTCCATATATCTTCTAAAAACATAATATTTTTTTCCCTTATTCTATCATACATATCTGTTAAACTCCAAGATAAAATTTAAGTATCATAAGATCCACTATACATCATATTATCTATAAATTCCAAGCAAGAAACTCCATTTAGATGTCCTTCAAATTCTTCTTATAATTTACCTTATTCAAAAAAAATAAAAAAAAATATATATTTTTTCTTTTTTTAAATATTACATCCTTTTTCTAAATTCCAAGTTTTAATTTTGCAATCATCACCTGCAGTATATAAATAATTATTAAAAACTTTCATAGTAAAAACCCATTCATCTAATTATGTAAGTACTTATACAGGTTTTTCAGAATTAACATTCTAAATATCATAAATTAAAATTGTATTTTATATTGTTGCCAAGTATAAAAGTTAATTATGATATATAAAAGAAGTTATGCTTTCCTCTTAAAATTTACGAATTTAAATAATTTATTTAGTCTTTTTTTTTTAGCAAAATTATTTTTTTTTAAAAAAAAAATTAATTTATATATTTACATTTTTTTATATACATTTTAACTTATTTCCATAAATATATCATTTTAAACTATTATGTAGATGCTTTTGCTACTTAATCTCATTAAATTTATACTGCCATTTACTAATATTATTTATTATTCTTCTTATGTCTTTTTATATTTATATTTTATATTTCTTAATTTATTTTACTTAAATATTCCATATTCTTATTGTCGAGTCAAATGATGAAGATATAATTTAATAAGCGTTATATGAGTCTATTTCTGTGATTTTATCTTTATGTCCTTTAATTCTTTATAGTTATTCGCCTGTTTTTAAATCATATTTTATTATTAAACCGTCTTTAAATCCACCATATATAAAGGTATCATGAAAATGAATTACAGTAAAAATATTTAATTCCTTTTTTTAATTATATATATATTTTTTTTTTAAAAAAAATAAATAAATTTATATAAACTTCTTAATTATTATTGTTAATATTTGATTAATCTAAATTATGATTTGTTTAAATTCCTGATGTTTAAGTAATGTTTAAATTTTCTCTCTTTAATTCTATTTTAGATTTTATTTATTTTTCTTCTAAATCCCAAACTATTTTTTGTTGTTGATAAAGTTAGAATATAAATTTAAAAATAACTTCTAACACTTCCATCTTTTGAAGCTGAATAAAGAATTTTCTAAGAGAAATTAAATCCATAAGGTGAGTATAGCTTTATTATTGTTTCTTTATGGCTTTTTAGCTTTTCTTTGTAACATCTTGATTTGAATATTTTTTTCATTTTTTATAAATTCAAAACTAAAAATTAACAAAAAAAAAATATAAATAAATATAAAATAGTTACTTTATTAATTATGATTAAATACTAATAAAACAAAAAGTATTTAATAATCATTATTATGTAATTCATATTAAATTATAATAAATAAAACTATTATTTAATAGGATAATATAAAAATATATTTTATAATAATAAAAACGTAATAAACATAATGAAAATTTCATTTAAAATAATTTCTAATTTTTTTTTTTTTTAAAAAAAAAAATGTTTTTCTTTTTTTGTAAAAAATTATATTGTTTTTTACTTTATTCTATTGTAATATTTTTTTAAAAAAACTAAATTAACAAAATAAAAAAAGAATAGTGACAATCTCTTTTATTTATTTAATACTTAAATATAAAAATAAGGAAAAATAAAAAAATATATAGAACAATTAATATTTAAATATTAAATGGGAAAAAAAAACATTATTTATTGTATTATTTATATAATAGTTTTATATTTTAAAATATAACATATAATTAATTAATTATTATATAAAAAAACTAGAAAAATAAAATTAAAATGGGTGGAAAAGCTTCTATACCTGAACCAGTAAAAAACTTTTAATGTAATAAGCATGCTTAATTTGATGTCTTAATCGAATATTGTGGTTCTTGAGGTTATCATAATACATTCGAGTTTACCAAGAATTGCATAACTATGGCATATCCAAATGCATAAATAGAAAAAAAAGTTATACCTGGGTATACATAATGTTTTGAAATTTATGTGAATGGAAAATAAGGAGTCCTAGTCCATAGTAAAAACGGAGGATAGGGAAAATTAAATGAGAATAATGTGTTAGAATGTTTAAAAAAAATAAAAGATGTTGTTGAAAAATGAAGAAAAAATATTTTTAATATAAATATAATAAAACATTATATAAATCATTAATAATTTTTAAATTTTAAATGATGAATAATGAAAAAAAAAAAAAAAGTTTCATTTGTTCGGAAAAAAAAAATTAATTAATTCTTAATGTTTATATTTTTATGTTTTAATATTAAAGAAATTTATATAATTAAATATTTAGTTAAAGTTAATTTATTTTCTATTATATTATAATAAAATAAATTATTATTTTTAAATCTTTAAATATTAAACAATTATGATGGAAATCAATATGATTGTTTATTCTTAGAGTTATTATTTGTTTAGATTAGATTTTAATAAAAATAAAAATACAATTTCATATTAATATTATTTTTTTAAATATACACAAAATATTGGATAAAATAATGGCTAAATATTATTAAATATAGATTAATAATATGTTATAAATTATAATAAAGCATTTAATAATTCAGATAAAAATCTTAAATATTGAAAAAGAATATACACGTGTTTGATAACATACAAATTTTTATTTTAACTTTTGTTGATTATCTTTTTTTTATTTTGGTAAATCAAAAAAAGTAATAAAAACATTAATTAAAATAAAAAAGTAAATTATTTTTATACTAAATTATATAAAAAATAAAAAATAAATAATGATATGTATAAATGTATTTTTTTATATGATGTTATAATAATTTATAGAATAATTATATTTTAACTTATAATAAACTACAATTTAACATAATAAATAGTTTTACAAATGCTTGAATTAATATTAATTAAATATTATTTATTTAAGTAAATTATTTATAATAAATAAAAAGATGATAACCAAATTAATTTTTTATTTCTTAATAAAGTGATTATATAATTTTTAAATTTAATAAAAATCTTAATAAAAAAATTAGAAATAATATAAAGTTATTTAATAATTTTTTAAAATTTTAATTATTTTTTTATATTTAATGTTAGAAATATTATTTGCCTATTATTAATGCATTATTTATTTTAATATTATTATTAACTAAATTGTTTTAAAATATTCAAATTTTATAGATAAAATATTTGGTTATATTTTTACAGTTTAGATTTTTATGAAAATTATGATTATATTAATACATAATATAATTTTAATTTGATTATTTATTAATATAATTTTTTCTTATATTTATATTGATGATAAGAATTTTAAATAGTTTTATTAAACATTTTATTAAGTTTAATGAAAAATTGTTTATTATATTTAATTTAAGTTATTAAATTCCTTTTATAAAATTTTATAGAACCAAATTATTATTATTTTTTAAATAATTTACTTAAATTGAATAAAATATAAATATGGCTTATATACAGAGAAAAGTTATTTTAATACTTATTTTTAGATATGTACATAATTAATTCACTATATATGTAAATAAAAAATAAAATAAAATAAAATAATAATATAAAAATTTAGCCTTATTTAAAAAAAAAATTAAAAAATGATAAATTTTTTTTTTTTTTTTTTAAATAAAATTACTTTTTATTTTAATTATTTAAATTTATTATGAATAAAAATATTATATAATATTTTATTAATTAACAATCCTTTATATTTATTACAATAACCATAGAAAAATTAGATAAATTTATTTATTATTATTAATATTTAAATTCTTGTCAGGTAATTTTTTTGTAAAATATTTTTTAATAATTTATTGGACTATAAATAATTTTGTAAAAGAAAATAATTTATTTCAAAAAAATATATTATTATTCTTTAATAAAAATATTGGAATTATTGATTTTTTTATTACTTGCCTATTAATAATCTATAAAAAAAAGCTTAAGTAATGCTTTATAAAAAATAAAATTAATCAAAATACTTAACATATTTTGATTTATTGCATTTTTATACATATTAATTGTTTATTTCATCTTTAAATTTTTTTAAATACTCTATCAACAAAAATAAATACAAGAAAAATGGATAATTGTCTTTTTTTAGTTTTAAAATTTATTGAAAAAATAAAAATATTACTTTTTATTTTAATTTTAGTTTAAATAATAAAATCTATTTAAATAAAAAAACTATTATAATAAATAAAGTTTTAAAAAAATAAGGTTTATATATATAATATATAAATATTATATTAATTTATTTTTATATATCATAATATATACTAATATTAAAAAATTTATCTAGAATATTGAAACTTTTTTTATTCTTATTATTAAATTAATATTTTTTTTAAATAAATTAAAAAAGAAATTTTATTTAATTTTATGACGCAATAAATTTAATTTATAAAGTATTACTGGAAAAAAAATATAAGAATCTATAAATAAATTTCAGTAAAATTATTTTTTATATTTGTATTTAATAATGATTTATTCTTTTAACAATATATCTATTTATAATTTATTTCAAATAAAAATAATTATCATTATATTGAAAAAATTAAAATAAATAAAAAGATTATATAAAAATTACAATTAATGCTTATAAACTATACATTAAATCCTTTATCTAATACTTAATATTATATTCCTAATTTATATTAACAATAAATTAACTTTTAAAATATTTATTTGCCTATTTAATCAGTTCTACCTAATAATTAATTGAATATCTTACAGTAATAAAATTATTTAAACAGTGATAATATAAATAAAAGATAAACAAATGTAAATAATTAAATATAAAAATAATATATATATCATTAATAATAATAATATTTATTATAATAATAATAAGAATAATAATATATTTAAAATAATTTGAATATTTTTTAAGAATAAGAATAGTAAAATCTTAAAAATAAATAAATAATAGAAAATATTAAATCTAAAAGTAACATATAATAAATAAAAGTAGAATATGTGAACTAATATTATCAAAAGAAAATAAAGAAAAACAATTATAAAAAAAAGATTTAATAATTATATTAATAAAATGATTAATTTATGTAAGCTTAATTATAATAATAAAATATTTCTACAGTTTCTAATGAGACTGTTTTAGTTAAAAAGATAAAAAGCCATAAGAATGATAGTAATTATACAAAAAACATTCTTAAAGGATTTTACAGGACTATGGTAAAAAAATATATGGCTAATTAAAAAATTTTATAAGAATTTATTTAATACTACAAATAAAATAAATTGAATAATGAATTTATTCTTTAGCTTTATGCTCATTAGAATTTTTCTAAATATTTTTAAGAATTTTTAGAAGCTGATCCTGATTGGTGGATTAAACTTGCAAAAATTAAAGATGTTGAAAAATAAAAAAAAGCTTTTCAAATTTGTAAATAAAAATAATATCATTTAATTAAGACTAAAAGAAAAGACTTTATTCGACCAATTTGATTATAAACATATATTAAAAATAATAGTATTTTATAATTATTATTTTTATTATATTAAATATAATAAAATAATTTGTGATTTATGTTATATTGTTATAATAAAAGTAAATATAAAAAGAATAATAGAGCATTTAAAAAATATTAATTAATTTATACTTTAAATAATATCTTTTATAATTAAATTTTTAAAAATAAAATTATTTTAAGTAGTATATATATATTTATTATTGCATTTAATTTTTTTTTTTTAATATATTTTTAAAGTTAAATATACAATAAAATATTATAATTGCTTTTTCAATTTTGATTAATTTTTTTGAGTAAAAATAAAAAAAAATTATATAAAATATATATATATATATATATATATATATAATATTCTATGGCAGGATAAAACAATAAGATAAATATACAAAAACAAATAATATATATTATTCTTATTTAAAATATATTTTTTAAATAACTCATAATTAATACTATTTATATTAAAAATATAAAAATTTAAAAATTGTAATTACATTATAATGTAAATATAATATTTTACCTTATTATAATTTAACTTAAAATTAATATATATATATGTAC